AGCCCAGCAAATTAAAAAGCTGTTGAATTGGCAGTGAGAAAACAAGGAGTAGAGCTGGATGAACACAGCAGGCCAAGCAGCATCAGAGGAGCAGGAAGGCTGACGTTTCGGGCCTAGACCCTTCTTCAGAAAAGGTTTTCAGAAAAGGTGTTTAGACTAGGTTAAATATAAATTAATCCCTTTACAGTAGCAGGTTTGTGCAAATGACAATGTGCCTGGCAAACCACCTCACCCTAACTCATTCAAAAACTAGCAATAGAGAACAAACTCTTAATAACTTCCATTGCATGGATGCTTAAAAATAATTTTAATGGAAAGAACAAGAAAGAAATTCATTTTATAGTTTAGTCATGAATTTAAAAAGCATTTGAATGTTAAAAACTTCCATATCAATGTTTAGCAATGGTATAGGCTGGTGGGAAATTCACTAAAATAGCTGGCCTTACTACATGGTAGACAATCCCTATGAACTACTAATCTACAACAGCAAACTGATAATCTAACTGCATACTGTTAAGTGAATGCGAATTATGTAGTGGATGTTACTAAATTCAGAACAATTTATGGCCTCAAATATGGGCTCCCGTCTAAAATAACTCACCAATCTTCCCAATTAGTCTGCCATTAACCATGTGGATCAGTTCTATCAGGCACAACAGCATCCATCGAATTAGTAGGAAATGCATGTTTGTGACCTTTTCACATCTGTCATTCTTGCCCTTTGGTTATAGTCAGGCTATTCTCTTGAGTAGTGGCATGCTGTTTGGGCAGGGATAGGATAACGTAATGAGGCCATAGCTCAAAAAGGGAACAAGGCACTGATACTCAGGTTCAGCACTGACTAGTTAGAAAAATAGGGTAACTTTTTGAAACTGTTGCAGCTCACCAACAGGTTAGTTGCTCTAGCTTCCAGAGGAACTTTACTAACCATAGTAAGTGCCATGCTCAAATTTGATTCACACACCAAGTCATTTTATTCCAGTTTTTCAATAAAATGTATTACACTTTTAAAATGGTTTCAGAGATAGTAGGAACTGCAGATGCTGGAGAATCTGAGATAACAAGGTGTACAGCTAGATGAACACAGCAGGCCAAGCAGCATCAGAGGAGCAGGAAGGCT